CATAAGATGGGTGGCCTTTGCAGCTGTCATCTGTCAGGCCAGAGCCTACCACTTTCAGCTTGAATGCTTTTTTTAACCTTTTCCCCCAGGCTCTGACTCATTACTTTATCTTCGTCATGACCTAATCCCTCCCTCCTGACTCAGCTCAGTTAGACTCAGTGATCCGACCCATCTCCGTGTCCTTGGCTCTGGTGGGTCACATGTTGAGTATCATCAGGGACCACAGTTCCCACCCCTTATGTTCTTAGTTCTTGGACAAGAAGTTCTAGAAACCAGGAACTCATCTATGGTATCCTCCAGGTTCTTCCTCGAGGCTTCTGAGAAACCCAGGACTGACCCCTGTCCCCTCATGTCCCCTGACCCCTGTCTTACCGTCGTGGTTGGCATTTCCTAGTGTCCATGGCTCGTCTGAGTCAAAGTGAGTGTCTCCTCCAATTCCAGGGCCAGGGAAGTAGGCATGGGCCAGGAATCCTCCTTCCCCATCAAACGGGGAGCTGTCACCATGGAAGCCAGAAGCAAAGAAGATCATGATGTCTGCCTCTTTCCGGTCACTTTTGATCTCATGGTATGGCACCTCTTCAAAGGTCAGCGGGGTCACCTTCTGCCACACATCAAAGGCCTGGCGAATAGCTTTCCGTGTGTCTAGCTCACCCACCTTTGGGGTGTAGTTGTGAATGCTGGTGAGAGAGGGGAATGAATGGGTGAGGGAGGAACAGAGAGTCAGACACTGGCAGAGCTACAAGGAACATCAGGAACCAGGTGGCCCAGCGAGCTCCAAACTTTGACACCTAGAATTCTTGGCAGTGCCCTAGGGGTCGAAAGAGAGGCCAAGTCGGCAAGGCTGTGGGTCCCAACCCCTGCCTCAATCAGAGTGTCTTAGCTTTAGTCAATGCTTCATATTTTGTCTTTGACAAAGTTTGTGTTAAATATAGGATTTCATTCCAATTTGTAGGAAAAAGAATAAGTTGGTGACTAGCATTTTCTAAAATTAATGTTCTTCTCCCAATACATACAATATGTACATTTATAAAAAGTTATAAGAGATTTTGCCCTGGCTCATGTGGCTCAGTGGATTGAGCATCGGCTTGTGAACTAAAAGTTCACTGGTTTGATTCCTGGTTAGGGCATGTACCTGGTTGTGGGCCAGGTCCCCAGTGGGGGGCATGAGAGAGGCAACCAGTCGATGTTTCTCTCACACATTGATGTTTCTCTCCCTCTCTTTCTCCCTCCCTCCCCTGTCTCTAAAAAGAAATAAGTATTCTTTAAAAAGTTGTAAAATATTTAAACAGTGGAGAGCTGACGTGAAACATCTCTTAAAAAACAGTTGGCACCAACTACTGCTTATCTACCTAGAAGCTGGTATAGGGCAGTGTCCGATTTAATCAGTTATAGATTCAGCTGTTTAAGGTTACTGTGTCCATATTGCATGGTTCTTCACATTCAGCATCACTACTTCTGGATGCTGTGTCCCATGAACACCTGGAGAAAGTACGTATTTTATCGGTAAGGAAACCAAGGCTCAGAGAGGTTGGGTGATGGAAGGTAAGGTTGGGTTAGAATCCAGTTTTCTTCATCTGCTCTGCCTCTTTGGGAGACCGGAAGAGTCTGTCCAGTTTCTGACCCAGGTTCTTCTATAGTTTCCTTCTCTTGTCAGATTTCTGAAAAAATCCTGCTCTGATCTCTACAACTGGTCAGCAGGAGAGTCCTTGGTTCCCCTCCAAGATCTCTATCTTAGATCCTTAGGACCCAGGACATCTACCTGAGGTGGAATCAGAGCCTCGAGGGGTACCAAGCAGAGCCCACCTGAGCCTACCCTGTGCCTGGCTCTGGTCCCAGCCCCACTCCGAATTCCGATGTCTGAGTGTGCGTGACGGGCTCCACATCCCTGCTCGTGGTTGCTGGTCTGCCTTGGAGACTGATCCTGCTCTGCCCTTGGTTTCCCTACACAAGCAGTGAGTGACACTGCTGGGATTCGGCTCCTTTACACTCCTTAAGAAACAGACTGGAAATCTGTGCTGGGAATCTTGCATGAAGTCTATTAGACTAAGCATCTCTGTTCAGCTATGGTTCTTTATCATGGCTGAAAGTCACTGAACTATCCATACTTCACGTTCTGTAACTAAAAATGATTGGAATCTAAACAGAACACAAGTAAGAAGCCCCTAAAGGACCAAAGAAACCTGAAGTTGGAGGCAGAGCATCCTCTGGAAGCCACAAGGAGGGCAAAGTCATAGGCTCTCAGTACCTGGCCCTCACCCTGATGACAGAGCCAGTTATGAGCCTCCAAAATGCAGGCCAGGAAAAAAGCAGGGAGTGTGGAGCCAGAACCAGGGAGGAGAGAGGAAGTTGGAGCACCTGTAGGTGATGTGCTTCTGCCTCCACTTCTGTCCGGTCAGGGCGTAGCGCTTGTTTCTCCGCCTACGGCTCAAGTGGGGGTGATCAGGAACACCACATCGGGGCTTCTTCATCCATCTGGGCGGAGAGAAGACACACATACGCTGTGGTCACTGAACACGCTAGGAGGACCCTCAGAGTCTCCAGTCCCAGTCTGCATGGTCGTGTGCATCACTGAAACCCTGGCTCCGATGGGTTCCCCGACGGGAACAGGACTGACTCACTCATTCATCCGCTCACTCTCAACTGAATAGGGGGAAACACTGCTGCATAGGAGACTGGGAGTCCGAAGACATGGCTTGATAGCTCCAGCTCTACCACTAGTCAGAAGGGCCCAGGCAAGCAGTTGAATTGGCATGGGCCTCAGTTTCCTTATCTGCAACATGAGAATTAAAGTTGTTGCTGTTCTTAGGTTGTAATGAGCCTCAAAGGGGGGCACATATGTGAAAATGCTCTATAAATGTTACTACATCACATCACTCCCTGGTGTAAAACCCTCCAGTGACTCCCCCAAACATTGGAATAAAGTCAGAACTCCTCACCTTGGCCCATGTGGTCAGCCTCTGCCCACCTAACAGCACCTTCACTCGCCTCCTCTCATACACTCTGCTCCACCACAGTGACCTTCTTGCTGTGCCTTGACCATGCTAAGATTTTCCCCACTGCATGGTCTTTGCATTTGCTGTTCCCTCTGCTGGCAGTACTCTTCTTCTTCACATGGTTGGTTCATTAAAGTGTCTGTTCAAGAGTCATCCCTTCAGAGGGGCTGCCCCTGCCCACCCTATCTCATATGCTGTAGCCTCCTCTGTCCATCCCACTGCTGTCTGTCTACTCTGCTTTTCTTCATAGCATCTGTCATTCATGGAAGTTATATATTTGATGTGTCTCCCACCAGAGTCTAAGCTCCATGAGCACAGGAACCTTGCCTGTATTCCCACTACTGGCACAGGGCCTGACACAGATGTTCAATAATGATTTGTTGACTAAATGATGGAATGAATGAATGAGAACTGTCTGACAGTAGAATGGCATAGCTCGGAAGACAGCAAATTCCCTCTCACTATAAGTGTTCAAAAAGTGGCTTCCCCTGGCTGCTGTGGCTCAGCTGGTTGGAGCATCGTCCCGTAAACCAAAATGTTGGGGGTGTGATTCCCAGTCGAGACACATGCCTGGGTTGCAGGTTTGGTCCGGGATTGGAGCGTGTATAAGAGGCAACCAATTGATGTTTCTCTCTCACACTGATGTTTTTCTCCCTCTTTTTTCCCTCTCTTCCCCTCTCTAAATATCAATAAGCATGTCACTGGGTGAGGATAAAAAAAAAGTGGATAGCCCTGGCTGGTGTGGCTCAGAAGATTGAGAGTTGGCCTGTGAATGGAAAGGTCATTGGTTGGATTCCCAATCAGGGTGCATGCCGGGTTGCAGGCCAGGTCCCCAGCTGGCCCATGTTTCTCCCACACATTGATGTTTTTCTCCCTCTCATTCTCCCTCCCTCCTCTCTCTCTAAAAATAAATAAATAGAATCTTTTAAAAAGTGGCTAAACAACTGTAGTACACAAAACATAACATTATGCTGTATTGTCTTTTAAAATTTATTAGCCTGTTGCCTCTAATAAATGGGAAGTTCTTTGAGGACAGGAACTGTATCATATTCATCACTGTGTCCCTGAAGCTCATCCAGCACCTGGGACTGAAGTAAATCCTAGTAACTGTTTGCTGTATCAGCGAACAGTGGGCCTGGGACATCACTGGGTGTCCCAGGGCCAGGGACAAAAACGGCCAGGGCAGGAGATTTAAAAGATCGTGGCTGAGCGGGGCCCAGGCCTCCCTTGAATTTGAGTCCCTGCTGGCCTAATGAATAACTCACTAAACTATAGCTTGGGATTGCTGGAAGGGAAAACAGTCTGACCTCATTTGCAGTTGTTGAAAGCAGTTGCCACTGGCAATATAGAGAAGAGACAGAATATTTTCACCAAATACTAAAAGCCCCTGGAGGGACTTAACCAGGCCTTACTCATTTCTGTATGTTCCACATCACCTATAGTGTCCTAAACTCAGAAATCAGTAATAACAAGCAATAATAGCAACACCATGCATTTGAATAAACATTAATAATTTTCAGTGTTCACATTGAAAAAATTTTTTTCTGGTTCTCGAAACAGAACCAGACAGACACCTTGGGGTTTTGCTTCCTGGGATGATAGTGCAGAGTAAAAGGTAGACAAATAGGATGGACGTGATGTATTCATTAAACTTTGTAAGATAACCAGAAATTATTTGTTCTTCACTTTATAGATAAGAGAAAAGAGACACAGATGAATTGAGTAACTTGTAAAGGGTAGCAAACAGTGAGGAGGGGCTGGAACTCAGTTGAATGAATAAATGAACTATTATTTCCCATGCTTAGTACAAGGTGGGGCTAGAGGAACTGCTTGTTGAAGGAAGGAAGGAAGGAAGGAAGGAAGAAAGGAAGGAAGGAAGGAAGGAAGGAAGGAAGGAAGGAAGGAAGGAAGGAAGGAAGGAAGGAAGGAATGATGTGTGACATTTCCCAAGGCGGGCACTCAAAAGGAGTACTTTGAATGGCTAATCTAGCTTCCTTTCACTGACAGTCCCTAGGAGGAGAACCAGGCACCTTCTCTGCAAGAGTGAATCTACCCCAACATCCTCTGCAACTCAAATCTTGTCTTAAGTGTGAGTGCCTTTTTCCTTTCCATGCTTCCAAATCAGCATTCCCAGCCTTCCTGCAAAGAAATGGGTGCAGAACTGCAAGTGGAAACGCCTTCCCCCTTCCTCAGATCATCATTCCCTCTGCCTCCTCCTCTCATGTCCACCTGCCACACTCTGAACCTTATCCAACAGGCCTGGGGCTTTCTGGAACAGAGTAAAACCCAAGGCCAGGTGGTGTCTCTGCAGCGACACCAGTGCTTCTGCCCCAGGATGCACCGCCACGAGGTCTGCACAAAACCCTCAGAATAACCCCTGCTTTGAAAGGCAGCCGGCCGCTCTGCCCAGCTCACTCGAGAGGCTGCAGGGCCAAGGAGTCCGCTGTACTCCCAGCATCACAGGAGCGACCTAACACGTTGTGTCAGAGAATCCCAGGGATAGGAAATGTCCGGACAGAATTTTCGGATCATGAGGCCCCACACTCACCAAATTGTGAATGCTTAGACGCACAGAATAGTGGAATCTAGAATTTGAGAGGCATAATTTAACACTCCCTTTGGTAAATGAACAAGCTCAAGGCCAGAGTGATTGATTTTCCGAAGGAGTGACTCACCCACGGGGGTGGGGGGGTGGTGGATTTCCTGCTCCCCACCCACCAGCTTCCCCTCACCCTCACCCAGCCCTGCTCTCTCCTCCACCAGAGCTCAGGACCCCACCGCTCACCACCTCCTTAGAAAACCCACTCCAGTTCTCGGGGTTTCATTAGACAGCTTTAATAACTCACACGACCATTTCTTAAACAAACGTAAGCGTGCTCAATCTCTCAAAACTTATACAAACAAAATTCATTCCTCTCTAACCACCACCCCTTCCTCCTTCCTTTCACTGTTAAGCTTCTTGAAAGTTTCTCCCACACTTGCCATCTCTACTACTCACCTCCCCTTCTCCCCACTGCCATCTCTCCACGGCTAATTTTGTCTCCACCATTCCTCGGGGTTCACAGTGGCTTCTTTACTTCTAAACTCAGGGGACACCTTTCAGTCCCCTGTTTGACTGCCCTGCAGCAGCTGAGCCCGGTGGCCATTCCCACTGTCACTGCCATGACATCACAGCCCCAGGCTTCTCAGATGTCTCTGCCTGCTGCGTCTCCGCTCGCTCTGAGGGGCTCCCTCCCAGCCCTCTCCTCCTCCTCCTCCTCATCATCATCATCATCATACTCCTGCTGAGTGATCGCAGCCATCCTCAGGGCCGATTTGTTACAACTTCCTAGGTGTTGCCCTGAAACTCAGTGTTTCCTTCTGAGTCCTGGATCGATGTAGCCAGAGGACTGTATCCTTCACTAAATGGGGAGCCCGTGGAGGGTGGGGATCGGAGGCCCAGGCACTGAGCAGGTGTTCGGGAAATGGAAACAGTGAGATGAGACTCGTCGACCTGCCATCCAAGGGTTCTCCGCATCAAGTGCACATCTCAGGGAATGCCCGAGGGGGGACTCACGGAACTGCAAGCTTTAGAAGCACAAGTCAGAGGAAATGTAAGATCATCTATAACCAAACCCCTCACTGTGCTGATAAGGAAACTGAGGCCCCGAAGGGTTAAGTGACTTGTCCAAGGTCGCACAGCAAGTCTGTGGCAGAGCACATCAGCAGCTCACATAGGAAAAGACACCTTGGGGTTTTGCTTCCCGGGATGACAGTGCAGAGTAAAAGGTAGAAAAATAGGATGGACGTGATGTGCACAGGAGGCCATGGCGAATGTGAGCCCAAGCGTTAAGTCCGGAAAGTTCAAAGGTACAATGCCCTGCGCAAATCTTACTCGATTGTTGTCTGATCCAACACACCGGTGACTGGGATCCCGTAAAACTGCTGCATGGTGGAGACTGCTGACTGCAAGGCCTTCCCTGAGTGCAACGCAGAGGCCCGTGAGTCATAGGGAAGCAGGTAGCCATATGACTTCAACCAGTTCTGAAAGACACGGGAAAGAGAGGAGGCATTATGCTGGAGATGGCACCATCCCACCTGGGCAGAGAGCTGGGACATTGAATACCTGGGACCATTTTACCCAAGGGACTCATGGCCTCACGCTCTGGTTCTTCCTCCACCACTCCCCCCTGCAGACATGTCACATTCATCTCCAGAAAACACACTCTTGTTGGCTTCCTCTCTGCTATAGAGCTTTCACTGGGTCTCTACTGAGCTCTACAGAATTGAGCTGAAATTTGCATTCAGGGCTTCCTACTACCCTGACTCTTGGCTCATTTATTCAGTGGCTTCCACTGACATATGACTAGACACGCAAGAGCATACGAACAGTGCATTCGCAGAAATAAAATGGCCTGTTAAAATGTGCTTTCGAGACCTGTGTCTATAATCAGAGTCTGATGAAGACTCATGCTGTAGAATATTTATTGGCATGAGATTATATACAATCTTTATTGCTAATCCCTCAGAAAAGCAAGCCATTACAAAAATAAGTAAAATATTGCATTATTTAATTTAAATGTCAATACACAAATATATGTATAGAAAAGCCTATAAGGGCACACATTAAAAATAATAGTATGATTATATAAGATACTTTCTTGTTTTTAAGAAGTACACACTGAAGCAGTTAGGCTTAAATAAGGGTGTATCAAGTCAACAACTTAAAAAAAATAGACTCTGGAAAAAATCTATATAGAGAGAGAGAGAAAGAGGAAACATGTAGTAAAATGTTAATAGTTGGGGAGTCAGGTGAATTCTTTGTCCTATTCTTGAAAACTTTTCTGAAAGTCTGAAATGATGTCAAAAACTTTTTTACATAAAAATAATAAATATCCTTTGTTATAGTATTATGGGGAACTTATTTTTTTTCTTTAAGTTTTATGCATGGAGTCATTAAAAAATAAAAAGGAAAAACTTTAAAAGCGCACGGAAATCTGAAAGTAGCGTGGTGGTGGTGGTGCTCAAACAAGCTTTGAATCTGAAGGGTAGCAAAGTAAAGACAGTGATTTCCACCAAAGAGCACGAGGGGATGGAAACCTGAAGAAACCAGATCGCCAGAAAATATCTGTGGCATCAACTGGAAAGTGAGGAAAACGGCCACATATTCACTGAATCCATAAGCAGCATTTACAGGAGCTTCCTACCACCGAGCCTGCACCCCTGCTCAGAGGGTTGTCCTGATACTGGGCGAGCTCTGGAGGGAAAGAGAATGTAGGAAGCCGTTCATTCCCTTCCTGCCTACTGGTTCTGTTGCTTGTTCCTGTATGAACAATCCAATTGTGGATGTGTCTGTTATTAGAAGTCAAATCAAATCATTTTTGGAAGGAGGCAAACCAGAAACTGTAAATAAGTTATCTGTTTCACCAAAGGTGACTATAACATCTTTACTGCTTTGTGATAAAATCCATAGGACAATTAAAAACAAAATATTCAGAATAATAAAGTCTTAAAATATCCACAACAGAACAACAGCCTTATCTCCTCCATATTTCATGTTTAAAACATGTTTTTCATTCCAAACCGTGGCACAGGGTGTCAATATTTCTTGCAGTTGCCCGAACACTGAATCTCTTTCATGCCTTTGTGCATTTCCCCTCCAGCTTGATAGTACGATAGTGCTTTAGAGTTTGGCAAAAGCCATTTGTTATTTTAAGGTTCAGCCCATAAATTACACTTCTGGAGGATTTCCCTCACTCCCCAGACTAAATTATTTTCTCCCTCTTCTGTGCTCCCTAAATCCCCTATGATAGATCATATAGATCTTACAATATTGGGCTCTCATCATTATGTATCGGACTCAGAGTTCCTCAGGGGAAGAGCCTGGCTTTTACTCATCTCTATACAAGGTCTGCCCAGAAGGTATCCAGCCATATAATATGAAAAATAGAGGCATTTATTGAAGAAGATACAAGATATAAGAAACACTGTGCATAAGACAGTGATCTGGTCCCCTTCAAAGTAGGCACCTTGGGACCTCACACAGTTCTCCCAGTTTCCATCAGCTGCCCTGTCTTAGTTTCCTGAATCTCATCGGTGGTCTGAAGTCTCTTCCCTTTCAAAGGTGATTTTAGTTTTGGGAAAAGCCAGAAGTTGAAGAGTGCCAATCTGGGCTGTAGAGGGGCTGAGTCACCTGGGTGGTTTGATGTTTCGCCAAAGAACTCTGTGTGAGATGTGATGCATGAGCGGGCATGTTGTCATGATGAAGCTGCCAATCACTGGTTGCCCACAGCTGCAGTCTTCTGAATCATCTGGATGGTTTCCACAGAGGAACATTCAAGATTGATGCAAAATTTGATGCAGATTTGATGCTTTACTCCATCATTTTGAATGTGATGGCCACACAGTACACATGCTCACTCAACAGTGTCTACCTCCCCCACTGATTAGTACAGTGAAGTCGTCATTGTTCATGCATGTGCATTCCAGTCCACTCTCCTTGGCTGCCAGGCTACATCGATGTTGTGCAAACTGTTCTCATTATATTAACAATGGCTGGACTTTTTCTGGACAGACCTTATATATCCAGAGCTCAGGAAGTACCTGACAAATGGTAGCTGTTCATTATGCCTATTTGACAAACATTCCTGGGCACTCACTACCTGCCAGGCACTGTGCAAGGAATTGGGGATGCAAAGATGAATAGGGAGCTCACAGACCCACCAAACAAACCCACTGTGAAAATACAATGCTGAAAATCTGGTGTGTGCAGGGTTCTGTAGAAGAACAAAAAGGGAGTGTCTTAGCCACATAGGAGACGGAAAGAAAGGAGACCTGGGGGGAGGCCTCCAGGTGGAGACGGCATCTGAGCTAAGTCTTTTTGGATATAAATGTGTAATTGTCTGGAGCTGCAGGGGAGCATGGCACATTCTGAGCAGTATTTAAGATGGCTAGGACTTTGGGGGAGGGCTGTGTGGCAAAGAGTGGAGAGGGTTGGAAAGGAAGGACGTGGAGAGAGATGGATGATACGCAGGGTGTGGCAAAAGGAGCTTTACAGTTGTTCATATGGGAAATAACACAAGAATAACTTTGTGTTTTGCATAGTCACAACTGTGAACCTACATTTGCCCCACCCTGAGTGATTACCTGTTCACAAAGTGGACAAATTACAGAGAATCATTTGTGGCTTGATGGTGGCCTAAGACCAGCCAAAACACTAGTAGGCATCTGGAAACAGACAAGACGGGGCAGCTGGCAAGCTCCCCCTCCATTCGTTCACTAGGGGCTCCAGCTTCTCAGTCCAGGTTGCGTTATATCACCAAAGCATCAAGTCTCTTCACCCCTCACAGCCAGAATGTTGCATCGTATTCTCTTTCTTTATAGAAATTTAATTAAGAATTGTTGGGTTGTGCCCCGACCTGCGTAGCTCAGTGGGTTGGGCCTTGTCCTGCAAAGCGAAAGGTCGCTGGTTTGATTCCAGGTCATCTTTTTTAAAAAAAAAAGGATCGTTGGGTTGAGTAAACAGGGTGTATAATGGTGAAGAGGCATGCAGCCCTGAGATCGAACCCTGACTTCACCACTGGCTGGCTGTGTGATCCTGGACGAAATGAGCTTCAGTTTCCTTGCTTGTAAAATGGAAACAATAATCCCTCATCAGGATGGTTATTAAGATGAAAGAACAAATGCACCTGACATAATCACTCAATAGGTGTTTGTTATCTCTTTGGATTATATGCATTTTGAAATCTAGTCATCTTGCCCTCCCACATTGTCCCTGGACCGAGAGCCAGTCCTCGTGGGTCCTGTGAATGGTAGTACATTGTCAAGGTCAAGTCTGCTTGCTCTCAGGGGACCTATGGACATGATCTCTTCCACAGCACTGGGGGCACAAGGAGAAACGACAGCTTACTGGAGCTGTGTACCGTGCACTCTGTCACCTGTCTTCCCTAGGACCAGAGACTCAATCACTTTCTGTCAAACTTTAGCTCGAGGGAATTTTTTCCCTACAGGAGATTCTGTATGGTTTTTGGTTTCAGAAAATGAACATTGGGCAACCCAATGGTTTCCCCTTTTGGCCTTTCTGCCAGGAATCTTTCAGCCCAGCTTATAGTTTAAGTGTTAAGCATGGCGATGCTTGGAAGAAACTATTACTTTTCTTTTTCTTTTTTTTTTCTGACCACCAAGTTATGTTTTATCCTTGTAAGTCTTACTTAAGAACATTGCTTCAATCTGTAAACTGCCGCAAGCCTTCCCAAAAGAGGTGTGGTACAGATCTAAAATAAGTCCAATTCCTCTCTAAAAAATTCAACTGAGATGAATTATGGCATTTGGGAAATGGCTGGGGCTCTCTGGACAGATACCACTGACAAACCAGACAGCCAGCTGAGTATTTTTGGAGCGCCTATCTCTAAACTAGCATGGAATTGAAGAATCTCCTCCCCTCCCGCCCCCTGGCTGCTGATGGTAGGAGAGAGGGCACAGGGCAGTGTTGGCACAAACCCACTCCATCCTTCTGAGGCTTCGGGAAATTAGAGTAGCTCCTCCTCAGTAAAGGGCAGCCTGACTCACCTGGCTCCTTTTCTGGGATGCTCCAGTAAGGAGCATCCCAGAGCCAGTCGGGATCCATTTTGAAGGTCACAGAGTCATTCTCAGCAGCCACAGGGATTAGGGTTTAAGTCCTCAGGTCCTGGGTAAATGTCTGGGTCTGGACCAAACATTGGAATGGATCAGCCTTCTCTGGGTTCTGCTTCCCTCCCAGTTTCACTGGGGGCAATCCTCAGAGCTCAGGGGCAGATGCCCAAGAGGAGACAAGTAGGAGGGACTGGTCAAATGACAGCTCTAAACCAGGGAGTGGGGTGTTGAGGTAGGACCTGGTGCATGTGCACACATGTGTGTCTGTATG